CTTCAGAGCATGGTTTAATGAAATGCAGTTCTCTGGAAACGTCTTTGGAGAAGGCTGTGCGTTCCTGAGGCAAAAATGAATTGCAAATAAGTGTAAATACCTTCAAGAAGTTAAATGATACTTCCATGTGGAAATTTTGTGAATTAATAATGCTGTTAAAGAAAAGCTGAACTCACCCATTCCATTTGTACTGGAAAAGTTGCCATTCACTTGCATTATTCAGTCTTGCCAGACATTGAGGTCCAAACTGTGGAGAGACAGATTTGGTAACATTTATTCTGCTGGTAACAGATCAGAGCTTAGATGCAATTATGCATGTATCCTTAATTTGGTATTTCAATAAGATAGTATTTTCATTCAGTAGTCTGATAAATGTTTCCTCTGAAAGTAAGTTAATGAAAATGAATGAGCAAGTGCTGAGCTTCAGAGGGATACAACATGTATAAAAGTTAAAAAAACCAAAGAGTTGGAACTAAACTTTATTTGTGAAATCATATGATTTAATAATTTTGTAGATTGAATCTTTATGGAAGAAGTGGAAGCAGTCAAAATGTGCTTTTTTTCCCTTCTCCACACCCCTACCCCACAAGAGAGCAATCTACAGAAAGTGCTATAGGATTCCAGAGATCTTGCACCGTATTTGTATTCTTGTCTTGCATCATGTGGCTATTGGAATTAAGAAGGTATTACAAAATTTTTTAGATAAGAAACAAAAGCCAAAAATTAGATCCCATGTGATAAATAAAGCTTTCTGATTAATCATGACATATGAACTCTTAAGTAGTTTGTATTGGCATTTAGCTACATGATAAATCAGGGCTCTTCAAGTTCTAGGATGAGTAATGTTACAGCTGCTTACCCAATGACTGCGTGGCAGTCGGTCTTTATTTTTATTACACTAAGAAAGGTTTCAGGAGTTGCCTGAATCTGGTCTGTTGAGCTCTACCCTATTTGTGAACCAAGATTGAAGTTTGCTTTGTCAGTTTTGTAGTTGGCCCTGTATTTTTTAACATGTTCTTCCTTGGAATGTTTCTTCTGCTAAATCCTGTTTTTACAGAATGTAACATTGCATTTATCAGCTCTGTGACTATCTTTAAATAGAGATGTTTGGAACATTTGAACTCATGCCTGTGAATCTTTAAAAAATTTACATCTGAGTATATAGATGGGATACATGGGTTCTGCCTGCCCTCAGGGCTTGCTTAGCTTTCACTTACTAGCAATATTATTTTCAGTCCTTGTTAAGAGTAATTTCTGCCCTTTTTTTCCATACAGTAAAGCTTGTAAAAGTTCAGACATTTGGTATCCTTACCGTCCCTAGAATGGTGGATTTCTCTGTGGCTTTTTGGATTATGTTTATCTTAGTAAGCTGCTGATATGTGTTTAGTTTTTTTTGGTGTTTTTTTTTTTTGTTGTTGTTGTTGCTTTGGTTTTTTTGTTTGTTTGTTTTTGGAGCTGTGGCTGGTCAGAAGAGGTCTTATGAAAGTGAGGAGTGCAGTGAGCTGTCCATGAAGGGCCAACTGTTGGTTCTTTTTCTGGCAGTAGGGAAGATGGCTAATCCGTGTATCCTTTGAGACACACTTGATTGAAAGCTGTCGTACTTGTTAATATTGTGGGAATTCGTGTCCTTCCGTTACTCCTTTTCTGGATCCAAAACTGGGTATTTCAGAACTCTTATAATGCTTTGTATGCATCTTTTGGCAATAAGGGGGTGCCACTGCAAGGAGTCACTTTGTGGGATTTAAGTCTCTTCATCTCAGCCAGTTGTTGCTGAAATTTTTATTGTTATCAGTGTAAAACCTGAGCATTCATTTCAAAGGTTTTTCTGCGGTGAAATTTTCTCCACTTCTTTGATGTTATTTGCATCTGGACTCAATTCATATTCAGAAGTAGGACTCCCGAACTTTCCTTAGAAAGGAAAAAGAAAAGAGAAGATTATTTGTCAGAGGAAGTATAACCTGAAGGGAGGAGGGAGCATGGAGTTAAGGACAGCAGACCTCCTGTGGGTGAGATCTTTGCATGCGAAAGGGCTTAGGGCGAGGTACCCCTCCAGTGGCCTGGAGTGGTAAGCTGTAACCCTGGTAAACTGTCCTGGCAAAGTTTGTGTTGATGTTTTGGATCTGGGAGAGGAATTTCATGTGGTTGCTGATGCTTCACTTTACAGAACCTAAGGCATATTCTTTCCAGGCTCTTAGTCCTTTACGCCGCCTTCCTTCCCCCCTTTCTCGTATCCCTCTTTCCTGCTTCTTGACACATCCTTTTCTGATGAGACTACTATCAAAGTGATTTCAGTACACTTCAGAATGTAATGTGAATTCCTCCGGACTGTTCCTTTAATCAGAATTCTGGTTCTTTGCCTTTCAGATAAAATTAAAGCTGGAAGTAAAAGAACATCAGAAAGTCAACAGAAAAGACCGTGAAGCACGTTCATTTAAACATTTCCTATTGCTTACTGCTATTGCTGTGAAGTTTCAACTTACAGCATATTAAAGTCATTGCCTCTTGACTCTGAAATGATAAACAAAGGAGTTTGTTGATGGTGGTTTCCTATTAAAATGGTGAAAGCTATGGAAACTCTGGCAGTGGCTTAGATTTCCATTTCATAACTTCCTTCTTGAGGCTGGTTTGGGATTCATTGACACTGTTACATTTATCTGAAACGTGTACACTGACTTACATAGTAAGCTGAGTAACTGCACTGATGAAAGGCTTTTGGATCAACAGATTTGATGGATAACAAGGCAGTCTTGGTGTAGATGCTTCTGTTTTTTCTCGATCCCTGTTGGTTTTCTAGCAGTATGGATAGCACTTTTGGCATTGTTATATTTAAGAAATTACTGAAAAGAATGTGCAGTGCATTTGAATCCTGCCTCTCTGTATGTTTTTTTTCTTTCTTTCTTTCAAATATATATTTTTCAGATCTAAAAAGACCAAACCAAACAATCCACCCTCCGGAAAAAACTACCAAAGAAAACAAAAACAATCTCCCTGGTCTATAGCTCTCTCAGTAAGCCTGTATTAGGTTTGAAACAACTGAAATCCTACCTTATGGGGTCCATTGTTGTAATTATGACACCTGCACACTTTGTTATGAAAGGGAAAACTCCATATTTCTATCCAATTGGCACACTGGGGAAAAAAACCACCCTTCGGTGTATGAAAAAAAAAACAAACCTAGAAATCCCCATCAGTTAAAGAGTTTGTGTGGACCTTCCTTTGAGTTTTAAAAAGTGTACAATAATCAAAAGGACTTTATATATTGTATTCTAGCAAGTACATTTTTGTGTTATATTTTGGTGAAGATAGCTTTGGTACTTTATTTATGAATTTTTTTTGGCTAACCTGTATTTCCTTCCTGGCTAAATGAGGTTACAAGTAGAGTTAAATGGGTTAGAGGCTGGGTAGAGACAAGGCAGTCTGTAAGTCAGCTGCTACTTATAGCTCCTGAAGGTAGAGATAAATCTGTTTTGCTTTCAGCTTTACATCTAGATTGTCAATTAACTGATTCTACTTTATTAGAAAATTTGAGAACCCGTTCTCTTACTCTCTCTTGGGCTGATTCTGTGGCATACATTTCTGGTATTTCTTCCATTGGGACTGAAACAGAAAGCTGACACTTGGTGACACCGGAATGGAGTATGCACATATTACATCTTGTCCTTGTGCTTGGTGAGAGTGGTTGCGTAGTCACTGTTGAGCAAGTTATGTTTTCTTTTGGGGATCTGGATAATCATTTGATGGTTAGAGGATGATTGCCATGGTTCATTTTGAAAATGCAAAAAGTTTTCATATGGCTATACAGACTTAATGCATTTTAAGTTGTCTTCCATGTATTTTCAAGCTACTCGGTATTTTCAGTGACTCAATGGGAGTTTTAAACTTCTTGTGTCGATCCATATGTATGCATTTTTTGGTAGCTTTCTGTTGAAGCACTCATTCTGAACAAATTTGCCATAAGATTATGCTGTTGTGCTGGGTTTTGTGTGAGCACACAAAAATCCCACAAATCTATAGTTAAGGAGGCAAAATACTTCAGTGCCAGTAGCTTACAAGTAATCTTCTTTGACACCTGCAGTTTCTCTGCATCTTCTGATATTGACTGTTGAAATAAACTGTATTATGATACTAAGGAAAAAGTGACCCTCTAGACTTGCTTTTGATTAAATTGGTAAAAATATTGAACTTCTCCTGTATTCAAAGTTGAATTGTTAATTTTATCAGACTCTGTTTTTTTGTATGAATTATTTGAACAAATACAATTTGGATCTGATTCTGTAATCCTCTAAGAATTGATTTTTATTAGTATGGAAGACTTCTGTTATACTGTAAAGGTTCTGGGTTCAGACATTGTTTTCTCTCTGTACAGTTTTGTTCACACTGCCAATGCTGCATGTTGTGATTTAAAAAAAAAAAAGTTTTGAAAATTCTCAGCCTTTTTAGAAAGCACACTTGATTTGTATAGCTTTCAGAGTTTGTTCAGTTTAACATGAAAGACACTTACTTAGTATGCAAACTGTATGCACCTTTTTAGGAATGAAATCTAAATCAAATTTCACATTCTTATGCATGGAGATGTCAGTAGGAGAGCCAAAGCTAAAACCTTGCATTAATTTACAGTAATATCCCAACAAAAAATACTATGCGGGAAGACAGGAATCTTTGGTGCAGAAATACAGGAAGACCTCTGAAGCAGAAGCCATGTCTCTGTTTTTAATCCGCTTTCTTTTATTCATTGGTTGATTATTGGGAAGATGGATAATAATAACATTGGATTCATAAACTGAAGAGTTTCATTTTGTGTATTTTGGAAGCAAATATAAGTACTCGATTTGCTCTTATAAAATTATATTATAAACATTTCAAAACATTAACGTTTCCATTGAAATAGCACAGGACATTATTACCCTTTCTTAAATTTTTATAACACTTGATGCTGCTTAAAATGGGTTATGTTAAAGATGAAGCTGAACTTAGGTTATATTCTCTTTTATAACTTCTAGAAATATAAAGAGAAAGATAAACACAAGCAAAAATATAAGAAGCAGTCGGAGTCCTCACCATCCTTGGTTCCATCTCTTACTGTAACTACAGAGAAAGTAAGTCAATGTGTTTTCCTCCTCTTACACTTGAATTACTTATGTTGAAATTTCATGATGTAATCATTCCAGTGTATATACTGGAGCTTTAAAATGGCATAGATTCTGTAAGTATCAAACACACTTGGTATTTTTTCCTATAATATAAAATCCTAAAATACTTGGAAGTTTATAATATGGAGAAAAGCATAGATTTTTGTAATTGAATAGTGAGTGATTTAATGGCACCGGTCTGGTGCCACTGATACTCCACTAAGTTTTATTTCATTGACTTACGTTTAATAATTTGAGAAGTTTTAGAAGATCTTTCCTTTGAAATTCACTTCTGTGTTCTGAGCTGTCACTGAGCCTGTAAGCATTTAATCTGGTAATTAGGAAATGGCAGCTTATGCTTCATATACTTGTAATATCACATTGCCTTTTTAGCAGTCTGCTCCATTAGGTTCTGTTGCCTTTCCATCCTGTTAACGTGCTAGCAAGTACCTAATTCAAGGGACAACGTAGAGGGTTAAATAATAAGGACTCTTCTCATTGTACTCTACAGTGCCGAGTTTCAGCATCCATGCAGGGACAGGAACGACTCTCACACATTGATGCAATGCACAGTCAGTTCACTTTATTGCTCCGCTTGCGTGGTTATATACATTTTTCATATCTGTACATGCTATCATGCTTATTCGGATAGGCTACAGACATAAATCATGCGCTGTTCACGCACCCCATATTCCCTTATGATTGGTAACTATGCACTAACGCCAGTAGCAACAGACTGCCTCCATGTCCTTGAACACATCTTGTTTTTGCTAACCCACATCATGTGCACTATCAGAACTTTCTCAATTTCTGTTCCTAGCTGCCCTTTTCAGCGGCCTGTTCAGTTATGCTAACTGTTTTGCTTAAGCGGCCTAGTCATGCTAACTCTCAAGCTGCATCAACCCCAACACTACAGGAATCATTTTCACTATCCACCAAAAACATAACACAAATAATGGTATTACAAAGTGGGCAGCAGTATTGAGAAATGGGTTTTCTGACTTCAAAGTTGAAAAACATTTGTCCCATTCTTGTGGGAATGTTTGATATCCAAGCTGGGGAATCATATTTGAATTAATTAGCTGCCAGTAGGTGGAGAACTATTTTTTAGCTGAAACTTGTGTTAGCTACATGTGTTTGGCTGCTGAGATGCAATATTCGACAAATGTATCTATGCATATTGTACACCAAGATGTTGTTGGGACAGGGTAAAACAATTGAAATACCAACTTTTTCTAGTCCCTGGATAACTAATGGTATCAACTTCAAGAATCATCACCAAGAAAGTTAGTTTTTTAGTATGCTTTGGATATTTCTTTACTCAATAGTGTGAATATTAATGTTAACATCCATTATTTGTGGCTCATGCTGCTGATAAACTAGTCTTGTTTCTGGTTCTGCTGTATTCTTTTTGACATTATTATGTCAAGTAAGATGTACTAGTCAGTAGTTTTCTGAAACTCCCAATGACTCTTTATATAAAAAAAAAAAAAAGTCAATTTGCCACTTTGCTGTTTTGAATGGAGAGCCATTAGACATTGCAATCAGTGAATGTGACCGTTGATCCTGGACTTGTTGTAGAACTCTTTGAATAGTACTGAATCGTCTATGTGACTTGTTATTTCATATTCTTAATTTGTCCTGAACATAATCGTGTTGAGTCTGAGAAAACTCATAGAATTCACAGCCTGTAAAATAATTTTCTTGTGTGGGAACTTCCTTTAGACGATACAATTTTTGTTTAGGCTTTGTGCTATCTATGATATCTTACTTGAATATATCCCTTTTGTACTATGGTTATCTAGTCATCATCCAAAGTTTTAACAAAAAGTGATGTTGGTGTATATTTATGTAGAAGTTAAAGAAAATATATTGAAAAATTGGTTATTTTTGAGTCCTACCTATTAGAATATGCTTTTAATGCTGAAGACATGTTGGATTCTGTTTTTCTGCTAATCTGTTTTCTAATTGCTCCTCCCTAGACTATTTCTAATTACAAGGTTTATGACTGAATGGTGTACACTTTAGTATGGTGAACAAGAGCAAAATTCCATTTTTAGTAGATCCGTTTAATCCAACTAAAAAATGAAAATGTTGCCAAGTGGTTGGCCATACTGTTAATCAAGATTGTACTATAGTATGTATAGCAAATAGTAGAGAATAGAACCTCTCTAATTCTAGAACTTAGATTATAAATTAATTAAACTAGAACAGAAGTATTAATTGTTGAATTTAAATATCATCATGTCTCCTGTTAGAAAGAAACACAGGGTGTGAAAGGTTAAAAAAAGAAAACTATGCTATCTGCTTCATTTTCTACCTTCTTTTTATAATACTTCAGACTGTCAGGAAAATTGGAGTTCAGGGTTTTTTTTATGAAGTTATTTAGCATGATTACGTTTCTTTTAAAAAACGTATCAGCTGGATATTTGGAAGTAATTTTCTGTAGTTAGTTCTTTCTGTTATCTTATTTTAATTTTTTTCCCCAAGTCCTTTGGACACCATTTACATGCATTTGCTTTTCTAGGTTAAAAATTCATAGTGTATTCCTCAAAACATTGCAGTTTTAATAATTACACAAGCTTTGTTTTCTTCTGAGTTAAATATTTGGTTCAGAATATTTTATTAGTATGTTACTTTTGTGTATACTTTATATAGAGTTGTCAGAATTGATACGGACTTGATGTCTTTTTCACAGCAGTCTGTCTTTGCAGTGAGTACATTATTTTGTCATGCTATATAATCACTTCTGCTACCACATTGTTCTTGTTGGGGGTACTGGAACTTGAAATGAATTTTGGTTTTCCTGTTTCAAGAAGTTAAATCCTTTGTGATACAGTGGCAATGACCATTTATGCAGGTGATGCCTTAAAGCATGTTTTTCTCTGGATGAGCGGCTTATTAAGATACATTCGTGAAGGGCTGCAGAATAAACTGTGGATTTACATTGTGTGAGTTAGTATACTTGGCTTGCCTGTTTGTTCTGCAGAATTTAATACCAAGAAATTTTACTGAGGTTCCAGTCCAAACGCTGCGTTCAGTTATGAGTATGTGTTTTGTGCATCCCTGTAATGTTGCGGCAAACACTGCTTAGTCTGGGTCAGTTAAGTCTGAAAAAATTTGAAATAAGAAATTCTTAATTACTCTTTGATTAATGTATTAACAAATTTTTCACTTCTCTTTTTGAGCATAGGTACAGAATACTTTAAGGAGAACTAGAATAACTTACGAACTGGAGTTCTCTCTCTGCCTTTTTGGATGAAGTTTTCTTGTGGCCTTTCTCTTAGATGGCAATTGCCATCAACCCTTTATTTAGTCCTGATAAAAGCTTCTGTCTCAGGCTTTGAGCTTTGGGAGGCTGGGCTTGTGTCAAAAATTAAGAAATGGGTATGGTTTAACAGATCCAGAAAATTAAGTTGTCTTTTTTTAAGATTTTTTTTTAGTTAAAACCCCAAAACATTGACGTACGCAAAGATACACAGGAGAATGTATCTGCTTTCAAATTGTAGCCAGTAACTAAATGAAAGATACTGCAAACAGAAAGTACCGCTGACTTAATTTTATCTGTAGAGATGATGGTGATAACCCTCCTCAGTTCACGCTGACTATCAGCCTGCTGTGGTTCTCAAGGGAGGTGATCAGATCCTACTACAGTGGGATACAGAAGAGAATGAAATAAGTAGAAAAATCTCAGTTTGGTATGACTGAACATAACTATCCTACAGTAGTGTGGTAATTGTGGGCTATGGGTGAGGGGGGGTGTGTGGATTTTTTTTTTTTGTTTGGTTGTTTTTTGCTCGGACCATTCCCTTACCATCTGGCATTTTAGTGGATGATTACCTGCTGTGGTCCTTCCCTTCTCTGTGCAAGACTACTGGCCTATGTATCTGTATTACGGCTAAAGGCTTCTCAAGCCTTGGGACGCACTGTGTATAGCAAGAACGATTATTATGCCTTTACATAAATCTGCAGCTTTCCCAGAAGTTTTAAGACTTGCTGCAGATGGGTGGTACAACTCTTCAGGGCGCACAGGGTGATATATGGGGGGTGTGAAATGACAGTAGCTCTCTGTGCACCAAGTTGGAAATGTGAAAGTGAGGTTTTAGGAAAAAAAACTGCAAACTGGTTTATGGGAAGCATAAAGGAACGCTGATACACACAGAGTTAACTTGGCAATTGCGCTAGCAAGTACTGATTGATTTTTGAGAAGAAGATTAACATTCATGACGTAGCTGGTCAAGGACTCCCAAATAAACCAAGGAGTGGGAAATGGTGTTGGGTGACAGCATCAGGGGGATACTTTCCCCTCTTTTGGGGATGTTTGTACTTAAATGGAAGAAGGTGGCTGACTGGAGTGTGAGCAATGAAGGGGGGAGCCTCAATTAGTGTTCCATTTTAAAAAGCATGTGTTGGGGGGAAGGGAGACTGCAGAGGCTGAAGCCAGTCATTAAATAACGAAAGATGTTCTGCCTCCATCCTCAGATCCTTGCTCACTGCCAGTCTTTCCTGACCTCAGAAAAACCTGCAAACAAACAAACAAAAATCCTGCTATAACTTTGCTGTGGCATTTTAGGGGTTTCTTGTGGTATTTGTTAGGCCTTTGCCTTTTAGAATTTAGTGTTGTAGAAAAGCAGTTTGTTTAGGGGTGAGTAAGTTGTTGTGTGAACCAGTTAGCTCAATAATCTAGAGTATGTGCTGTAGTTTTACCTTAGATCTTACTGCATATCGTGTGGATTCTCAGTGCATATCTGTTATAGGGCAATTCATTGCAATTGACTGCTTAAAGTAGGGAATATAATCTGGGAAAAAAACACTGACCAAATTATACCAATTTTGCTTCTCTGAGTGTCTGTTGCATCATACTAGTGTTCAACATACCCTGAATAAGCATGTAGATTTCAGTATGCTTTATAGCAGCTTCCAAAACAGAAATACCTGTTGGAGGAAAATTTTCAAAAGCAGAACTGCAAGGTGCATGCATGTTCTCCAAAACCTGCTAAGAGCAGGATTCAGGCTTGCCGTCAAACCCAATCTCTGCACAGTATAGGCAAATAAATGCCTGCTTGTTATTTCCTAGCCCTGGCCAGTCTGCAGAGCTACGTTAAGCTCTTAATTTCCTTTTTAAAAGAAAAAACATTACCCCCCCCGCAGTAAAGGAGAAGAGATATGAGATAGCATCAAAATAGGATTGTTGATACCTACAGAGAATTATCCTTGCAATTAATATTCAAACAAGTGGAGAGGACATAAGGATTAGGAAAGGAAGGAACTGGATAAGAGGAGAAATCCCAGATCCTACAAAAAGCCTGACTTGCGGGTTATTGCATGTCTGGAAACCTAAACTCAGGTCAAGTGACACATCAGTTTCAGGAAAATTGAGCATACCTGCGGACTTCATAACAGTTGAAAAAGTTAACTACTAAACTGACCTTAGAATTGGCGCCATCTTCATCAGAAACAGTTACCAGTATAGTAGTATGAATTTGAGGTAAATAATTTTTAATATAGTACTTCAATCACCATTACTCAGAAAAACCATAATGTATTTTTATTGCTGTTCATAATAGGGCTATATTTGCAATTCTGAAGGGCTATGTTTTGCCTTTCTTTTAGGTAGGTAAATTGAAATAAATTCTTTGCTAGCTAAAAGTTGTTGGATATTAGATGGGCTATGCAGTTTTTTTTCATACAAGTGGATACTCTATAGATACTTTGTAGATGCTCATAATGATGTATGTTTTTCATTTAGAATATTGTATAGCGAGTTTAACTTTGGTTTACTTGCTATAAGAAGAAAAAATAGCAGTAATTGAACAGGATGAAAATATGAAAAATTTGTTTATTCTTAATGCTAACATGGAGATATTGTTACTTGTGGATCTTAAACACATAACAATACTCAACCTGAGTTAGTATATCAAATTTTCGGCTTCAGATGTGAAGTTGAATCACTTCTCTCAAGTGGCACAGAGGAACTGACAAAGTTGAATTTGATTCTACAGTAGGTTTTAATACTAGATTTCTGTTTAGGGTGTGCTCTACTTCTTTTCACTCATGAGTGAAGAGTTTAGAAGCATTGTCTTTTCATGGCTTATTTTACTACACTGGGTTACACAGGTTTGGTGTAAGTAGGACGGAGATCTTCAGGACTAGCATAAATTAATGGGGAAAGTGCTTGAAGAGTGAGTCTGGTTGTTTTCTACACTGGCCTGTTCTGCATCGAGACACTGACAGTGTAAAACAAAGTGTGGAGCCCAGGCAGTTCGAATCCTTCAGCTTCACATACTGCTTTGCTGCCTTTGGAGTCATTTGGGTCTGCTGTTGTAGTTTGGTAAGCGCTACCCAGTGTTTCCATGGAACAAGTTAAAAAAAACAACAGTAAAACTAACACTAAATCAACAGACTAGCAGTAGAATTCAAGTAAAGCAATTTCCATGGAAACCGTGTTTTTAAAGACGCTATTGGCCAAGTGGGTTCCTCCCCCCAAATAAATACTGCTCCTCCCCCCAGCAGTTCACACAGGGCAGTATGCAAATAGATTGACATTTTCATCTTCCTCAAAGTTTGCATATTTAGTTGTCTTCTGGCATTTGCCAGCATGAAAAGTAAGTTCTATGTAAATATCTTAGCTGTTTTAGTAAAAATGTGAAAAACTTTTTATACCAGCCATACAAAGCCATATGTAAAGATGAGGAAATTTTCTGCTGTAGGCCTACATTCAGCAAGCATCTCAGTTGGGGAAGAGAAAACTTGTGTATATGCTCATTTTTGAGAGGCATGTGTTTGTGTGGTCTTTAGTGAAGATAAATTTAGATACTATTTTCCACTATCTTCTATAAAGAACTGAAAGACAAACTAGGCTTGTTTTGAACAGAGGAGTAGCTTCTAGGTTTGATCCACAGTTTTTTAAGAAGCTTTATACAGTCAAAAGGCTATTTTATTTGCTGGCTTGAGTATAAATAACAATAGAATATTATTTCCTTTTTCCTAATTTTGCTTTCATTTTCTTTCTTCTGATATCAAAATTACGCTACCACAAGTACTTTTTTTTTTTAAATTGTGAAAATAATTGTTCTCTTTTGTGTTTCCTAGTGCTGTGCATGCAGTTTCCCTGCTTACCTAGTTACTATCTGTGAACCTATTTTGACTATTGTTCACAATATGAACAATTCTCACAAAATTTAACAGAAGAATGGTGGGTTGAAAGCCCTGTGAGTGTAGGAGAAGGGCCAAAATTCTCGGGGATGTGTGAGGGTCGAGGAAGACACCTTCAGTGGGAGCTCAAGAGCGTGTTACGCCTTTTCCTTCCTGTCAGGCAGCAGGGTTGTAGTAGGTACTTAGTCGTTCCTGCACGTGTCTTGGCCAACTCAGTCTCATGTGTCTTCTTTACTCGATGATACTTAAGGAGCTGCCTGAGTGGGACGGTTCAGGAGGCAGGGAATCCTAGTGTGATGGTGGGAAGTGAAGACATAACGGACAGTTGGGTTTAGTGTTGAAACTATGAAGTCTTAAAAATGTAAGTTCTTAGGTTCTGAAGCCTTCGTCAGTTCCACTGCTGATGGGACATGTTTCCAGTTTGATGAAACAAACTGCCTAAAAACTGTATTTTCAGAAAAGCATTTAAAGGCTCATTTTTTCTTTTTTTTTTCTTTTTTAACTGTAAACAGTAAAATAACAATATCCTGTTTAAATAGAAAATAAAGACTGTGTAACCATAGATTTGGTATTAATCTGTTGACCTCAATAAAGGAAAAATGTCGACCAAAGCTGACGTTATTTTTGTGCATTTTTTTTTCCACAAAATGGAGTTTTATGCACTTCAGTTGTTTGCTGAAAATCTTAACAATTCAATTTATGTAACTACCGCTGTTGCCAGTTACCTTAGTATTTGAACACTTCTAAGTTTATTTGAAAGAGTGAGTTCTTTTAAACAGTTTTTTTGTTACAGTTTTTTGTGAGACCTAACTGTTTCTTTTTTCTTACCCTTCTCTCATCAAAATGCTAGACATACACAAGCACTAGTAACAACTCCATGTCAGGCTCCTTGAAGCGGCTGGAAGATACCACAGCTCGATTTACAAATGCAAATTTCCAGGAAGTTTCTACACATGTTTCAAGTGGAAAAGATTCTTCAGAGGCTAGAGGGTCAGAGAGCAAAGGGAAGAAATCTGCAGGTCACAGCTCAGGTCAGAGGGGAAGAAAGCCTGGTGCTGGAAGAAATCCAGGAACAACTGTGACTGCAGCTAGCCCTTTTCAGCAAGGTATTAATTGTTACGCTGTAACATGACTTCTGCTTTGACATGAATTGGAAATCATACATATTTAAAACTTGAAAAGTAATTCAGCCTTTATCCTCAATAATGAGAATGTTTTTTCACTTTGGGGAAAAAAATTACTTTTTTTCAGGGAAAAAATGTTCGTTGTCATAATATGGAAAAGGAGGGTGCATCTTTAAAGGGCAAACCTTATGCTGTTGTTTAGGCTGTTGAGGTATTCTTTTAAAAAAAAAAGTCTGTGGTAAAATTTAACATGAATTTGAGTCTAGGGGGCTTTCTTAACTCTTTAAGGGAATAATACTAATATTTATTTTTTTGTCATTGGAATACATAAGCAGAAGATGATCATGTGACAAGTATATACAGTTTATTTACCTTACGTAATACAAAAAAATTGATGTTTTGAACATGTTAAAACCCACTAAATGCACTGTTGACACTTCTAAAAAGCTAGTTTTATTATGGCATCTTCGTCACAGTTGAAGAAAGATAAAAAAATTTTAAAGCCTTTTATTACTTAACTAATAAAACATGTTATTTTGAAACACAACAAACTAGATGTTCTATAAAGTAGTTGTTTTTCCATAATTTTCGCTGTGGTGTATAGTAGCTGACTGTCCTTTCTGCTTTATGATGTTTCTCTTTCTTTATGCAGAGAGCACTTTTAAATTTGTCTAGAACACCTTCAATATTTCAGACTTTTTTCACTTGAAAAAACAGAGGTGTTTTTTTTTGTTTAAATTCTCAAAACTTTGCAGATTGCCTTCTGGAATCCTGCATTTAAAGAAAAATCTTGCTCACAGCAGATGGCAAAATAGATCTTCACTATATGCATGTGTTTTCTTTAAAGCTGCATTAAATGAAGTTGATGTAACTTATTCAAAATACAAAACAACAATGTTTTTATGATTTTTAAATTGCTATATTAATGTAAATTGTATTTTAAATTGAATTCTTAATAATATTTAATGGAGTACTAACAATAAACCAGTAATTTTTAAAGGATTTTTTGTATACCTGATGTTGTACCTAGGAGTATTTTCTTGATGGGATAGTCATCATCAGTCTGAGTTCTACGAAACAGTACCCAAATACACCCACCAATATAAAATTACTGAATTTCAGTGAAAGTAGATGTTTGTATTTCCTGGGTTTGCTCCATTTTCTGCCATGCATGTGTTAACAGTGATGAAATGACTGCCTTCCAAATACTACAGAAGCAATGTAATTCTGTTACACCAAAGATCTTTATGGCTCTCTGACAGTGCTAAAGAAATCTCAAAATGCCAATTTTATATACTTTTCTCCACTTCTTCTGTCGTTTTGAAAAATACCTCTTCTGTGGAACACCTCCTCAGCCAGGATAAATTAAGTGCAATTGCTGCTCTGTCGACCTATGTCAGACCCTTCATTTAGGTAGAACGGTAAGGAAGATTGTAGGCATAGTGTAGATGTGATCGTAGTGTGTTTCTGTCAGCCTTCTTCTATTTATATGTGTGCATGTTTAAAAAAACATGCTCTGACTTGCATCAGGTGTTTTTTGTGGCTTCAAAACATGAGGGATGTCAAAGCTGCCTAAGCAGCGCTCCTTTTACTTGTTTTCGCCTTGTTTGTGCGTCAAACTCAAATCTGAATCTCAGGTAGGAATCTGAGAATCAGATCCAGCAGTGAAGATCAGCAGGAGAAGCAATGAGTTATCTTAAAAATAAATTCTTTAGCTCTTGGTAACACTTTGCATAAACTCCTTGTACTTTAAAGTTTTGATTTCTAAGATACTAATCTTTCATTGACTATAGGAAAACAAAAAGTACTTTTTCTTTATGTTCTTTCTTTTAGGAAGCTTTCTGGGCACTCCTGGGAGCATAAAGTCATCTTCTGGAAGTTCAGTTCAATCTCCCCAGGATTTTTTGAGTTTTACAGACACAGATCTGCGAAGTGACAGTTTCACGCATTCTCAACAGGCTGCGTCAACCAAAGATGTACATAAAGGAGAGACTGTGAGTCAAGAGGGGGGTGTCAATTGTTTCACTTCCTTAATTGGTCTCCCTTCATCATCAGCTGTTTCCCAATCTAAAAACTTTGACAGCTCACCTGGAGACATAGGTAATTCAAGCCTTACTTCTACAGCATACAAACGAGCTCAAACTTCTGGAATAGAAGAAGAAAGTGTAACAGAGAAGAAACGGAAAGGAAATAAGCAAAGTAAACATGGGCCTGGTAGACCTAAAGGAAATAAAAGTCAAGAAAGTATTTCCCATCTTTCAGTTTCTTCTGCTTCCCCAACTTCATCTGTGGCATCTGCTGCAGGAAGTGTGACAAGCTCTGGTCTTCAAAAATCTCCCACTTTGCTCAGGAATGGAAGTTTACAAAGTCTTAGTGTTGGCTCATCTCCAGTGGGCTCAGGTAGGTATTTACTGGATTTGTTTTCTTACCTCCAAATATGTCTTTATTATTTTAGCTGTAATTCTGAGTATGCTTGTCAGGAACGGAGTAGGATTTAAAGTATCTTGAAAGTTGCATTGGGAAAAAAAGTAAAAATGACAATATGGCTTTTGGAAGAGTAAGTTTTGTTCCATGTATAGGTGCCACTCTGCTGTAGGTAGCTGTAGTAGATTCACCTATGGATTGACCTATGTGTTACATAAATACAGGTTTTGAGGCCGCAGGGGGAAAAATAAGTTGCATGACAATAGGGTCTTTAGAAATCACACGTAACAGGCTTAGCTAAAATACGTGATAGTTTATACAGACTATATTGTCTGTATGTTTTATTACATAGAGAAAACAAAATCAGTACTCAAGCCTGTCAGCTGTGCTGAGTATGTCCCTCAATTATTTTTCCCTGATTTAGCTTAATTAAAAATGAAGATGTCTGTATGGAGAATTATTAGTTTAAACACGTAAAAGGACATTCTGAATCTGGACCCCTGTGCAGTCGGATGACATTTTCATATTCTTGTGTGCTTTTTAGCAATTGAAATTGGCTGGTTTGTTCTTCCTCTGTTCTAAATGTTATGTGCATCTGGGGCTGAGAGGCTTTCTGTTCCCAGTAAACCTGTGTGTGGAATGACCTTGCAGAATACTGTATCTACCAAAGGCTTTGTTGCTTTGAAGTGTCTTTTGAGGCCTTTGTGTTTGGATTAGAAAAAGTTAGCAAACTCTATGATACCTTGTTTTTGTAACTTTGAAATTTTGTCCTTTTTGTTGTTCTGGTGGATTTTTTGCTTAATTTTTCATTTTTTGGGGGGACAGAGAAATAGAACTTGCATATTTGGTTGTGGGCAGGGTTTTATGCTTTTAAATTGTATATTGTCACTGTATAAGGAAGAGGTACTTTAAAAACATATTTCAAGAACGAAAAAAATTCGTATTTGTTTCAGAATAAGGCAGGTACTTAAAAACTTGATCTCAGAACCACATTGTTTTAAATCTTTGTTAGATATAGGCAAATGATGATTTTGATTGTGGGTAATAATGGCAATAGCAGTGGCAACTATATTAAAGAAAGATTTTTTTCCTGCATTGAAATCAATAGGGAGAAATGGTATGTGACAAAACTTTGTAGTTCACTGTCCATCTTTTTGCTTAAAATGCAGTTTTAAAAACATGTTAACCTCCTATCTGTTACAGACAGAGGTCATCCAACAGATTGAGATCAGTGTTCTGATTCTTTTAGTATTAACTTTCCATTTCCTTTATAATCCCTTTGAGTTGGATCATGTATTGTTGTAGTTGGGGTAACAGATGGAAGTAAAAGATCTTGGTTTGAAGTGAATGACCCATGTTTCCTACCTTGTATTTGTCTTGGAACATTCAGGTCTTGTCAGCTCCTAGAACAGGCCTTTCCCTGACCAGGTCCATCCTTGCTTCTTTTGTCCTCTTTGTTGCATCTTGCTTTTCCATCTATCAAATGCCAGTGATAATGTTAAACTCCCTTTGTAAAAAGCTTTGAAATACATGGATGGAAATACCAGGTGTGTTTTATAACATTTATGATGATAGTCAGCCTATAATTTCACCTCTCTTTAGGATACATAGATTCTTCTCAGCCAGCATTAGACCTGTCCTCTAGAACAGTGGTATTTTCTGAAGGTGCCAAAGAATATGAATGAAAAACAAACAAAACCCAGAAAAATCCAAAGAAACAAAACCAGAATGGATGTCTTTGCTTTCGAGCATGAGCTCTAAATTATCCCACAAACTACTTCTTGAGTCTGAGCATATCGTTTTCATGTGCTCTTTCCCATGATTTCCCCTCTTTCTTGTGGTTGTAGTGCTGCTTTCCTCACTTCATTGTAAGCATTTTCTGGGTTTAGCAGTCCATTTACAACTTTGTTACAGTGAGGAAGGGCACTTGAGTGTTATCAGAAACATACATACAGGGATGATATGCTGATGATTCTCTTTGAAATGTTTCCATATTGTCCAGTAACAAAATCTGACATGTGACTCTATACGATTGGACCCAAAACCCCAAGTAAGGTTTTGTGCGTGTAAGTGTAGTGAGAGAAAATGCAGGGGAAGTCAAGCCAAAAAGTTTTTACTGACTCTTACTTGGAGCTGCCGTATTACTTCAAAGAAGCAGAATCAAGAAGTTAGTACTAAACAAAGCTTTTGTGGCACTTTTCTCAAGAATCTTCTCCATGTTTTTTTAAAAAATAACCTTAACTGCAGCTATCTTAAGCTACCATTCTTTTTCCGTTTTTTAAAAGTACTTGTTGAGATCCATAAAAGTTATGAAAATCATTACTTCACAGACGTACAATAATCTTGTTCATAGTAAATGTTCAAAATAGATGAAATGTGAAGGAAAGTGTATTTTAAAAGGTAATGCAGATTGATCATGTTCTATTTATACATAATTCAATATCTTCCATAAAATTTTTATTCAGAGGAAGCACATTCAACTCATTTTGTGAAAATATTTGTCCTCTCCAAACTTTTTCCAGTCCACAGAACTTCTGTTTTCCTGCTTAATAAGAACAGAGTTGTACCATGAATATAGTACAAGGCCATGTAATTAAAAGCTGTTACAATACATACACTCAGGTTGTATTACAGTTGCTGTGCAACTGATCTGATGCTTTCAAAATTTTGAGCACTTCAATCTTAATGCTCACTATAATTTTTTTCTGAAATATATTTATAATCTGATGGGAAACGCTGTATGCATTACTTTAATAGTGTACTCAAAGGAATGAAAAGTAATTTTAAAAAATGAAATAAAAGTTAGTTGGTAGGGTGATAAGGAATTTTTATGTTAAATTAACATTTTTCTAGTATATCTGTTCCCGTTAAAAAAAAAAAAAGCTTCTTTAGCCAATGACAGCTTATTTACAAACTATACTTATCTTTCTGCTGGAAATTCACAAGCACTGTAAGTTGTTGTCTAAAAAGCCATCAGTCATTTGTCAATGGGAGGTATATAAAGCTGATACTGGTTCCCGCTAAATGGGACTGGTGTTTGGAGCGATTTCAAGATCCAGATTTTTTAATAGGGGAGGATTTCATCTGAACTCTAGAATTTTGTAGAGCTATTTAAGTCACACTAGTTGTATTCTCAGAATTAAGTTAATTCTCAGCATCCTTCTAGGGATAATACTTAAAGATTTCTGATGTGAAGTATTGTAAAGCAGTGGTCCCTTCTGCTGAAGATATTTGGTTTTTTTTTTTTCTTTTCACAACAATGTTGATTAAAGAACAGAAAACCTTCATCGGGGAATTGGAAGAGATGAGTAGCATCTTGACCCAGTGCTTACCTTTGCTAGTAGTATATTCCAAGATCAAATGTTTCTTTGACCATACTTGAACTTTTTTTCAGCAGTAGTGCAGAAACTAAAAAGGTGGTGGGAAGAAAAAAAGTGCAGTTATGATGAAGAACATTCATACATTCTTTATTTTTCTGTCAAGCAGTTTGTGCAGGCTATGGCTCCTCTTTGTTTGGAGTACACTCCAGTGCATGAAGAACTTGTGAGAATTCATGTCCCACAGCAATACGGGAAAAAACATTTTATGTGACGTATGCTACTTTCTGACTTTTGTAGGATAATGCAGCAAGGTAAAATGAAAAGCAGTCAAGTGTCAGAAGTAAACTGAAATTTCTGTTTTATGGGAGGTAAAGTTCTTTCATAGTTGTCTTCAAGTTCTGCATCGATACTTGCTGCTGGAAGAATTACAGTGCTTCAGGCATATAGGGATGCTTCTCTGTCTTAGTTCCATTTTTGATTTCCAGTGTACAACAAATTGTATAGTATCAATCTCAGTTGCTAAGGACTTTAGGGTATCATTTGCTTCAATACTGTAATTTTTGCGTAATTGGTTTTATTCCCTTATGAGTATTGTAAAACCTACAAGAGCTTATAAAGCAATTTTTTTTTTTTTTTTCCCTAAGAAGGCTGGAGAAGGTTAAATTCCAAACTGGAGCTTGAAATGGTTAGTCTGTTCTTTCAGCACCCTTGCTGTGTCCATCTTCTGGAATTTGTTTGTTGCAATTGAGGCAACCTTACAATTTGTCGTCTTATGTTTTTATCTGTACATCATATATATATTCTGCCCTTGACCAGTCTTCAGTATGCTCTGGCTGGTATTACTAGACAGATTTTGGAATGAAGGACATATCCAGACCCAGTATTGTACTATAATACAGCAGTATTTCGTACTCTTAGAAACAGTTAATGTTTTTGGTCACAGGCGCCTCTGGGTTGACCTTATATCTTGTGCGGTTAAATTTCTGCTTGATATAGGAGTTTACTAAATGCTTCAGCTAAGTCAATGTGTTTTACTCTCCTTTCTCATCTGATTCAAGCAGTGATGAGGCCTCTGCCAAGTGTTAATGCTCCTGTGCAAGGAGATGATCTTATTGTTAAGCTCGTTGCCATACTGATGATGTAAGAGAACTTTGAGCTTCAAAGTAAATGAGTAACTTGAAATTGTTCTCACTGAGATACGGAGTCTTTCAGAGCTTATGTTAAATCTTTATGATGTTACGTTTAAACTCCTCTGTAACCTTTGATTTACTAGCTAAATCTGTTGCTAGAAAGAGTTTAGATAAAATTATTCAGAAACAGTTCATACTATTACGTTTGTCTGCTAGGTGCTCCAGAAGCTGAAGCAGAAAAAGAAGTCTTGCCATGTTAAAAAGCCAGTTTGTATTCCAGAGGAGACAGAATAGAAAGGACAAATTGATACTAATAGATATTAATGACTTTTTAGGACTAAGCAAATGGTGTAGAAGATACACAGGGCGGAATTCTTGTGCAGAGAATTTCATTCTGCATATTTGAGGCTCAACAGAAATGGTGTTGGTTTGATACAAGATTAAAATGTCAAAAATTATGATTGTTGGTGTAGAAAACATGTAGACATTCATCAAATAATTGGGAAGAAATCAAGTGAGGTAGTAG